CAAATAAATCTTTTTACCACACATATGTTTACCTTTTAAGGAATTTTGAAATGTTGTCCTCACACCCCTACAATAAAATTTAATTCAGCTGTAAAAAAAATTAAAATGGAAGCTCTTTTTAATTCGGACATTTATGCATCTATGACTTAATTTGAATTCAATATTTGTTCTCTAAAAATGCTTCTTCTAACCAGATTTTCATTTTATTAACCATCCTTTTTTATTTTGTTTTTCTTTCCAGGTAAGTTCCGATACTTTATATGGAATCACAACACGAGATTTTAAGATAAGTACTGCAAAACTCTCAAAATATCAAAATTCAGAAAATATTCAAACAAAAATGGCTTTTGGATTCAACAGTTCGGCGATCTATATATTTCTACATTAAAAACGAATTTTTATAAAAATTCGTTAAAACGAAATTTTGAAGGTCGTTATGGGTCGGTCATATTCACATAGGCCACTACACATCTTTAGAAGACGTCCCATAAAGACACCATATCTTATATGGGGGTCTAATAAGAATATGTGATTTCTGTAGTCGGAATTTCCAATAACTGCTTCCCATGGACCCTTGATAAGTCTTTCAGCATTACCTTCTATCATCTATATATCTAAAATGTAATGTTCATATACAACGGAACTTATGCAGGACATTCTACAGACTAGAGTCCACCATAGAGCTCTCTTAAGAGGTCCGCAATCTACAATATTTTTATAGTCAAATGACATTATATAGGATAGGTCGTCAAAACAAATACTTCCTATCAAAGATGTCCCATATAGACACTACCTCTTCAATGGGGGTCTAATACGTATATATGAGAAGTTTCCAGAAAGGCCTATTATAAGGCTCTATATACAAACTATCCTCTAAAGGTACTCCATCAACAGACTACCTGCTACATTACTTCTATCGATTAAGGACCTTCCATAGAGCTTCTAAGTACCTTCCCTATACCGGTCCGCGATCTACTTTACTTATACGCTTCTATAGAGGCCATTGTAGGTCATCAACAAAAACCCATCCTATAAAAGACCCGTATAGAAACTATATGGGGTCTAATAAGTAGTATTATGAGTTATGTAGAAGACATAACTAACAAACGGATTCTATGGATTTTCGATAGTTTTTTGGGGAAGGCTTTATAGATTTCATAGATTTCAGCATATATGTAAACCATCAACAGGTTTGTGATCTGCTTTTTTTTAATCAGATCATTGTTGGTCCTCAGCAAAAAGACGTCCAATATAGACACTCTCTCTTCTATGTTGGTCTAATAAGTATGTATGACTATTATAGTCGGAATTTCTTACAAATGGTTTATATGGAATTTCGATATGTCTTCGAGGAAGGCTTTCTAGGAGGTCTTCTATAGACAAAATATCATCTAAATGTACTCGATAAACAGCCGACTTTCTAAAGGACTTATATAGATAGAAAATCTCGTTTTTGTATATGTTAAACCCTCAACAGGTTCTGATCTGCAATCTTCTATAATTATATGACTTTAATAGAGGTCATTGAAGGTAATCAACATAAAGTCGCTCCATATATACACTGCATCTTCTTCTAAGTATATATGACTTGTATTGTCAGAATTTCTAACAAATGGTTTCTATAGATATTCAATAGGTCTTAACAGAAGACCTTCAATAACATTTCGATAGACAAATTATTCTCCAAAGGATCACCATAAGAAGCAATCTTCTACAGAAGTTCTATCGACTAAGAAGCTTCCATAGAGTTTCGGCCATCACCTCTAACAAAATTTCTTCATCGAAGACAAGTTTCATCAAAGAAATTATCTTCTACTCAGCGAATATATTTTAGAGGTCTTTATGAGGTCGAAGCGGAATCAATTCAATCAAGGTGAATTCAGGAATTTGTGCTAAGGCAGCTCTTCTGTCTGTTGAAGACCTTCCATTAGTCTTATAAGAGATCTCTAGCGACAGATAACCTTATAAAATATAAACCACAAGGAATTGTATGAGTCTATCATGTCCGTATGTCTGTTAATATCACGATAGAGTATTGAATATTTAAGATAGAGTTTCGATATTTGAAAACTGCAATTTAGCATTTCGGATTCGCAGAGTGGATAAGAATACTCCTGGTTCATGATTTCAAATTTTTTCTCCTGTTACTCCTCTTTGGTGTTTTGGGCTTCCACAAAACATCGCCATCATACTCGATTAGTTCTTGTGTCTGTTTCCTTAATTTTTGATTTTCTTCCAGCTAAATAAATTATGGACCTGCTATAGCTTGTCCTAGGTAATGGGACGTCCCCTATCGTTGCCTAGAAACAAAGTCATCAAGAATTTTGTGCAGTGGTTGGTGTCTTTGATTATTACGTATTGACATTTTCCTCTGGGTGGCACTGTTATCTGCTTCGTTAATTATTGATTTTTTTTTTCCAGCTAAGAAAATTATCGATCTGCTTTAACTTGTCCCAGATGATGGGGGTACCATCTACCGCTGCCTAGAAAAAACGTCATCATGAATTGTGTACAGTTGTTGGTGTCTTTGCGATTTCATCTGGAGGGCGCTGCCATTCCTATTTCGTCTTCTTCTCATGTCCAGATGTTGAGACCGATATTCATTCTTTATAAGAATGTCAGGATAATTCGAATGCTTTTCTTAATTTTGAACAAAAAAAATTTAAGATAAAGTTTTGAAATTTTACACAATACACCTGGAATAGGTTCACGTTTTCTTATAGCCCCCTTATAACGGTAACTCCCCATGCTCGGTATTTTGGGCAGGGGTTTCACATAGATTAGCAAGACTTCATACCAAAAATGTTCAATATATGGGGACTATCTTGCGGTACCTCCAATATTTCGGAATTTTGGGTAGTTTGGGTAAATTTTTTTACCAAATTGGCTATACTTTTGTATTTTGAATCCTCACAGGATAGGAAACCTCCCTAACAAATATTATCAATATGTGTCCGAGTTTCGCGTAGTGTCCCCATATTATTCGGAAAGCTACCTTTGATTTTTCGGGTTCCCATTGGGGTTGTAATCTTTCTATCAAAAATTAATAATATAATCTCCATATAACGATAGTGCCCTTAATTTTTGATATTATAAGGATTTCGGTATGTTCAAGGCCATAGCCCAATTTTCCAACTTAGAGTCTGTAGTTTGAAATTTCTAAATTTCTTCAGACAGCAATTTACCATATGACATAGTATCCATATAAACGATCCCGAACAATTTTAGGTATTTTGAATATGCTCCTCATGGTATATAAAAAGTTCTGGCCGATCGAACCGCGAAATATTGGTCCTAGACCCACCTTTAAGTATACCGATCGTCATATATCGACTAGCTGAGTCGATCCAGACATGTGTGTCCGTCCGTCCGTCCGTCTGTCCATTATATTTTGTAAACACGATACAGGCCACAGTTGGTAAAGATCGGTATGAAATGGACCAAATACTTAATTTGTATCGGTTTTTCTGGTCGCTCTAGAGGCCGCAATTATGACGCAAACATCGCGAATTTTTACATAGAGAAGGGGATCAGGCCAAAGAATAAGCATGCTTGTTTTGATAAGGATCGGTCAATATTTAGCGGGTCAAATGGACCCTGACTTTTGTGTGAAAAATTACAAAATGTGCATTCTATAGCGTATAGATTTAACCCTGAGGGACAAAGACCCGAAAAGTTGTTGGTATATCTAAGGGCAGTGGTTGACCTTTAAATTGATACCAATTATATGGATGTACTCAGGTGTGGGAGTTACACTTAAATATGTGCAGGTGCTTACGTATTCAGATATTATTTAGTAACCCTTTTCCACACTAAAGGGCGGAAATATAGCGCTGATCGCTTTAAAATGTTCCAAGAAGTTCCAGTTATGGTCAAAGATAACGTCTACAATTTTTGGTGACGATCAGATAATTATATTCTGATGAAGTGGACCGAAAACTTAATGTTTTGTGTTTTTTCGAGTCCATCTATAGTTTCCTATGGGAATAAGAAGATCACAACACAAAGGAAAGGAATCTGAACATTAGAAGTGCTGTACTGAACATTATTTCGAAATATTGCCCAAGCTCAGAGTCTAGATCTACAGAAAGTTAGTTTTTCGTGGAAGTTGTGTAGGGTATCATATGGTCGGCCCCGTCTGAATATACTGCTCCGCTCACTGTTGTTTTTTTGCTACCAAATAATTTCCCAACTAACCATCAATCAAAACGTAATTTTCCAATAAATTATTACAAACAAATAATAATTACGTCCAGATACAATCCTGCAATTCCGAGATAACCCTCTTTTTATAAATTACAATAAATGATTCCATTAAAAAAATTGACACCATTAAACCCTGTGACACCGATAAATCCCGCACAGCTGCAAACAAGAGATTATTTGTCCATCTGTTTATTACCAAATAATAACAGCGCCAACAACCACAACAACTAATTGACAAATTCTAATCAAATACCAATTAATCAAGACACGGATGGTGTCCTCCACCACCTCATTCCTCAATATCGGCTTTGGGAAATGTTATTTGGGACAAAATGTTTGCACAATAACCGATTACCGTCATGCCATCGACATTGGGAAAGCATTGACCCAAAAATTCCAATAGCATTGGTTGAGCGGTGACCACAGTGGCATAGTCATCATAGGAGATGACGCCATCCTTGTCGACATCGAATTTTTTGAACAGCAATTCCACCATGTCCTAAGGAAATGGGAAGAGGGAGGTATTTTTCGAGTGTCTAAGGAAAATAAATTCAATAATGTACCGATCTCAGTTCATTAACTTCATCTTCATCCTCTCCCGTAAAGAATTTCTCCACGGCCAAGGTGACAATTTCACGATTCAAGGACCCCGTGTTTCCCACATTGTAAATCTGAAAATTTTGCAATAAAAATTCAGTAATATCAATGCTGATTAAAAATTTACCGGTGACACTAATTACAAATCATCCCAATAAGTCTTACACACTCATAGCTCTGACCATCCCTTAAAATATTTATCTCACACTTCTCGCCTCTCTCACCTGAAACGTAAATTTCATTCTCTCCTCCAGTTTATTGGACATGAAAACCGAAAATAGCTTTACCCATGCTACCGGATCAACTTCCTTCTTCAAATCGGAGGTAATCAGCAGCAAAATTCTCTCGATTATTTGCAAATCATAGACTTTGAAGAGAACCGAAAATAAATGATTAAATTGCTTAACGGTCATCGCTTTGGCCTTGGGGCCATTGGCCAAGACGAATTTGTGATAGACCATTAGAATGCTCTGAACTTCCATTTCGGTGAACTGAGTCTGCTTTGACATTTGCTTGACCAAATCGCGGTAAATGTTATTGAAACGCGTATTTTGGACATCGTCCAGCGTGGCATCAAGTTTGTACATGACGACCAGAGGAGTCGCTAACAACAACAACAATGTATGAAAAAAATATTGACAATTCTTGGAAAAAAAAAACAATATAGAATAGAATGTCGAGGCTGTCTATTAATAAAAGTAAAAGTAGACTTTGTTTATGTAATACAGGGAAGTTGTTGTGAATTTAGTTCTGGGCAAGGTGGTTCTGGGGCAACTACTTCTATGTCAAATTTCACTGTGCAGCACTAAAATCTTGAACTATTAATAAGATCTACCCATTTAAAAGATCTACAAAAATCCACGCTTCTGGCCCTTATTTTTTTTTTGTACGCACTTCTGTTGGTCTTGAGAAAATATTCACGCTTCCGTTGATCGCTGAAAATATATACACATATCTCGGTCCCTAAAAAATAATCTTTTAAAAATCCACGATTCTGGTGGTCCCTGAAAAAATGTTTTTTTTTTAATTCACTCTTCTTTTAGTCCCTGAAAAAATATTTTTTTAAAAAATCTATGCATCTTTTGGTCTCTGAAAAAAATTATTTTAAAAATCCACGCTGTTGGTCCCTAAAAATGTATCTTAAAAACCTCAAGTTTATATCGACATAAAATAAAATCAAGGCTTCTGTGATTTATATTAAAAATTAATATTCAAAAAAATCCAAGCTCCAATCTTAAGAAAATCCACGCTTTTGTTGGACCCTGAAAAACTTGTTGCTAAAAAGTCCATGCGTCTGCCGATCCCATAAAAAACCCTGATAAAATGAATGACTCGGGTGAGCCATGAGAAAAAAATTGATTAAAAAAATCCACATCTTCTTCGGTTGGCCCTTAAAAATTCACGACTGTATTGAACCGGAAAACAAATATTCTTTAAAAAATATACGACTTCTTTTGGTTCCTGAATGCCAGATTTTCCAACCCAAGTTGAAAATCTGCCAGAGCAGCCAAACAATTGGACATTTCTAACGATTATTTGTTAAGGCTTAATTTTGATCGTATTAAAGTGTATGCCATCATTTAAAATATTAACTGAAATTAAATTTAAAATTCCAGTTTTGAGTTCAAAATAATAAAAAAAGAAATGTGCTAATTTTTGTTTCGCAAAAATATGAGTCGGCAATATAAAAGAAATTTGTGGCAAAAAAAAATAATATATTAAATTTTGCATATGACTGTAATTATCACATTTTTGTTAATATTGAAAGTGAGATCCACATTTTAATGTGTTTTTTTTTTTCAATATAAACATTTTTTTAATAGATTAAATTTGTAAAAATAATAAAAACTAGCTTCTCAGGCCCATTTAGCCGTAGCTCGATTTATGTTTGATTTCTTGGATTCTTATAAAAATCGAAATAAAAAAATAAGAATAAGACTATGGGAGCTATATATCAATCTGAACCGATTTTCATAAAACTTTACACACGCCATTCTTGTCCCATTATAGTACGCTATGCTAAATTTCGTCCCAATCGGACATATCTTTTCAGGTTAGTGTACCATTTTCCTCAAATCGGCTAAATATATATATGGGAGCTATATAAAAATCTGAACGTCTTTCATGTCCTAATATAGTACATTATGCAAAACTTCGTCTCAATCGGACATACATAGGCAATACCTCAAATCGGACCAAAATATATATGGGAGATATATCGAAATCTCAATCGATTTTATAGAAATTTAACATACATAATTTCTGACTCAATTCAATATGATGTACAAAATCGATAAAGCTGAGAATTTTTAGTGCATCATTTACCTCAAATCGGTCGAAAATATGTATATATAGGAGCTATATATAAATCTGAACCGATTTCCATGAAACTTTACACACGTCATTCTTGTCCCAATATAGTATGATATTCTAAATTTCATCTCAGTCGGACATTCCTTGGCAGTTTGATGTACGATTTTCCTCAAATCGGTTAAAAATATATATGGGAGGTATATATAAATCTGAACCTATTTTCACGAAACTTTACACACGCCATTCTTGTCCCAATATAGTACGCTATACAAAATTTCGTCTAAATCGGACATACCTTTCCTCAAATCGGACAAAATATATATGGTACCTATATCTAAATCTCAACCGATTTTATCGAAACTTAACAGACATAATTGCAGGCTCAATTCAATATGTTGTACAAAGTTTTGTGCAAATCGATAAAGCAGAGAATTTTTAGTGCATCATTTACTTCAAATCGGTCGAAAATATATATGGGAGCTATATATAAATCTGAACCGATTTCCACAAAACTTTAAACATGATATTCTTGCCTCAATATAGTACGCTATGTAAAATTTCATCCCAATCGGACCTACCTTGGCAGTTTTGTGCATCATTTTCCTCAAATCGGCCGAACATATATAAGGTAGCTATATCTAAATCTCAACCGATTTCATCGAAACCTCACACACATCACTTCAGACTGAATTCAATATGTTGTACAAAATTTCGCACAAATCGATAAAGCAATGAATTTTAGTCCATCATATAACTAAAATCTGACGAAAATATATATGACAGCTATATCTAAATCTGAACTGATTTTCACCAACTTCAATTGGGTCCATCCTTAAGTAAAATAAATGAACTGTGTCATGTTTTATCCAATTCGGATGTTAAATACGACCCTATATAAAATTGTTCATGCAATGGTGAAGGCTAGAGGCCCGGTCGAACTTAATGACATTTGTACTTGTACATACCCTGTACCACACTATGGTACAGGGTATGTTTGTAACAGGCAAAAGGAAACGAGATAGACACATGGCTTCTTTTGAGAATATGCATAGAGTCACTTTCGGTGTCGTTTTATGTATGTCCGTCCGCCCGTCCGTCTGTCCATGTTAAATTGTAAACAAAGTACAGGTCGCATTTATGATCCGAAATTTAGCACAGCTCATTTATTTGGCCCAAGGACGAATCCTATTGAAATTGGGAAAATCGGTTCCAATTTAGACATAGCTCCCATATATATTTTCGGCCGATTTTATGTAAATTGTGTACCTAAGTCCCTACATATCTTTCTATTTGCACGAAATTTGACATAGCGTACTAAATTGAGTCTAGAATGATGTTTGCTAAGTTTTGTGAAAATCAGTTCAGATTTAGGTATAGCTTATATTTTTGTCCGATTTTATGTAAATGGTGCAACACAGTCCTTATATATCTTTCGATTTGCACGAAATTTGGCACAGGGTACTGAATTGAGTCAAGAATGATGTGTGCTAAGTTTCGTGAAAATCGGTTCCAATTTATATATAGCTCTCATATATATTTTCGTCCGATTTTATGTAAATGTTGCCCCACAGTCCCTATATATTCTTCGATTTATATGAAATTTGGCACAGGGTACTGTATTGAGTTTAAAATTATGATGTGTGCTAAGTTTCGTGAAAATCGGTTCCAATTTATATATAGCTCTCAGATATATTTTCATCCGATTTTATGTAAATGGTGCATGCACAGTACCCATATTCCCTTCGATTTGCACGAAATTTTGCACAGCGTACTGAATTGAGCCTAGAATGATGTGTGCTAAGTTTCGTGAAAATCGGTTCTAATTTAGATATAGCTCCCATATATATATATATATATTCGTACCGAATTTTGCTATAATGCGATTTCCATAAATTTGTCCCATTGTACGCAAACGACTCTGTCAATCTGCCCGAATGAAATTAAATTTTGCATAGGTTGCAGAAAGCCATTGGTATGTTCCTTCGAGGGAATATCAACATGAAATTGACATTGACGGGTCTTATGTAGTCGGCCCAGTCCGACTTTACAACCTTTTTCCTTTCAGGTTAAAATAATTACTTAAAATAAATAATTGCTATTTTATATTTATAGGAAATAATTTTTAACAATAAATTAATCATAATTTAATGTTGAAATTACAGCTCTTTAATAATAAATCTATAAATCTGATTATTTTTTCAATCAATTCTATTTTTTTAAATTCTATTCTAAAAGTACCGAAAATATTTACCATACGATTCTTGCAACAAAGAACAAACCGACTGACGAACATTTTTTGCACAACAAAAGCCGGGCTTGGTTGCCTTCAAAAAGATCAAACGATAGACGGGCAGAACGGCAGGCTGGCTGGCAAGCAGACAGACAGATACCAGAACTACAGACGGTCAGATAAATGACCTTTTGAACTCATAAAATGTTTTGGCAAAAATTAAAAAAAAATCAAAAAGTGTTTAGAAGTATGCCTCTGTTGGCCATAAAGCTTATGGAGGTTGGTGGTGATGGTGCGTCCAAAGAACCCGCCTACCCGGCCAAGCCACCCAAGCAACCATTCAGCCATCCGTCGATGTAACAAAACAAATTGGCAGCTGTTGATTTAAACTCATGCTTCACAGTTTTCTGACATTAATTTCTGGTCAAGAATTTAAACGGCAGAACCACATCGACAGCAGCAGCAACAACAACAACAACAAAGGCAACAAATTTGTTTGTAATTCAACAACATCATCAGCCTCTACTGAACTTTGTTGTTGTTGCTGCCCGTGGAGATAGATTTTTTTGGGCGTTTTTTGTTCTTTGTCGACGATTTTTTTTTTTTTATGACCAGACATGCTAATAGATTTTGAGGTCATTGGTTGGTTGCATTGTCGGCAGCAGCCACAGGCTACTTGCAACTTGAGGCAAACTTGCCAAATGCGTTGTTAACCATAATTTCTTGGCTTTTGTTGTTGTGGTTGTTGTTACTGTGTTAAATTCCATGTTGGTTTGACAGCGGGCGGCCGGCAGGCCATATGAGACCCCCAAAAGCATATTTGTTGCCGGTTTTTTTTTTCGGCGAAGTTATACGGCAATTTGTTATTGCAGTTTAGCGGTAACTGTAAATGTTCAGAACATCCGCTAACTACCAGGCTGTGCGTTTTTGGCTAGAATAGAAAAACAAAACAAAAGCAAAAAATCTGGTAGTTTTTGTTGTTGTTGAGGGCAAGGGTTCTTTGGTTTTTTTTTTTTGAGGTAATGCAAAACAAAACATTTACCA